TGGAATACGCGCTGGCGGCGATGCGAACGCAAGCTATAGGTCTCCTATGTTGCCAGGCGGCGCTGTGAAAAGAGACTATTTTTGGGTAACACAGACGCAGGCGTCTAGAAGTGTCATACGTTTAGAAGCGTGCCTGCCTCATGGTGCGGTACGCAATCACGAGGAAAAAAACAAAAATCAAAAGTTCGAATGGCGTCGTATCACAGGTCAAAGATAGGGCGCTATGAGCGCGAGCCACAGTGGCATGAGTAAAAACAAATAAGAGTAAAACGACTCTTTCACGCGTCACAAAAAAGAGAAGAAAAACAGTGTCGCCACGCAAGATATTTTGACAAGATATACGGCTTGCAAATTTGACTGCTTCTTGCACACCTTGTGCGTTCGTTTACCCTACAAACTCGCCCACGTGCGTTTGTTTCCCCCTTGACCTCAACCAATGACGGCGTGCGTCATTGTCATCGCATGTTCCCTGCGCCTTCTTTATGTCGCCCTTTGATCGGAGTGCTCGTCCTTGCGTTCCGATGCGCCGAAGACGCATTTCGGAACAGTTACTTGCCATCAGAGCCTTGTATAGAGAGAGTTTGGTCAATGGGAGGAGCGGGCAGAGCCAGGGCGTGCACCAGACGCAGAACGAGGGCTTGACAGACTCTTCTGGCCTGCTAGAAAACGAAAAGCGGTGGTAGCGAGAAACAGTTTTAAAAAGAGCGTCAGGGTTAAATGTAGTAACTTTTCATGGTTGAAACTATGGTGCACGTGATTTTTTGATTATGATCATGCAAAAGATGTAGGAGATGAATGTGCACCTCGAACTCTGTTTTACTCGAACAGTGTGTGACCGCTCGAACGGCAGATTCCCGCTCCTCGGCGCCTGGCGTACGGATTATGTCGATTGTTCCGTTAGTCGCGCTCTTCCACCATGATTCTGGATATCCGCGATTGAAACATCACGTGCACCATATTTTCAGTCACCGAGAGTTGCTCCGACGCACTTATTAATTTCGTTTCTCGCGACCACCACCAGGGCATTATTTCCGGCTTCTGGTTGGCCACATTCGAATTTATGAAGACGCCCTGGAACAAAGGCGCACTTTGCTTTGTTCACGCTTTTTCCTGATTGATCCGTTCAGCGTTCTTATCCGCTAAAGCCGCAATCTGATTAGCTGAGGAACTCGGCACGCCCTGCGTTTCTTAAGCTGTCGGTGACTGTGCTGAGTGCAAGTTCGTCTGCTTCTTGCACAGGGGTTTCGATGATGTCAGAACGCCGAATTCTTATTGGCTGATTAAAAGAAAAATCATAGTGGCTAGACCCTAAGGCATCTAGCATTGAGGTCTACACACTATACTTTCAATCAAAACCAGTCAGAGCTCGGCGTCGCTTTGACGTCACCACAAATCCTGCGCAGGAAGCAGACGACTTGCTCTCCTCATATGATCCAGTGGAGCCAACCAAGCAGCTCCCAAAGTGCATCGTTACAGCGTATACGTCGGCTTTGTGCGTTTGCTGTTCCCGGTCAAACCAACCACGCCCAGTGGATTCCCCACGATCCTGCGCTTTCTTCTGTGCGTGAGTGGTTTTGCCGTTCATAGCAGGCACACAAAAACGACGAGCGTCCGCCCTGACGATGCCCCTTTGTCGCTCCTTGATTGGATTCATAGGATTCTATGCGGAGCGCAAGCTCGTCTGCTTATTGCACAGAGGTTGCGATGATGTCAGGGTGTAAGATAGACATGTGGGGAAACGATAGCCAAATGAGCGACCGGATTGTGTCCCCCTCGGTTTTCTCTTTTTCTGTGGCGCCATCTATGTGGAGCACCGCGAACTCTCACTCCGGGTGGGCACCGGTGGCGACCGGCTAAACTGACGGAGATGGCTTCTCGTGGATTTTCAATGCAGGACTGTCGTGCTCTCGGTTTATTTTGCGCACTTTCCCATAAAGTTCCATGCAAATCCGATTCCGATTTTTTTCCTCTTGCCGCAGCGCCATCTGTCGCAAATCGGGGGCACGGTGGAAGATAGAGGAGGTGTCTCAACGGAGGCCGTCGGAGTGTCGAATTAGCGCTCGCGGTTCTCAGTTTCCGCGGCAGAGGCGCTAGTGCAGTCCGGGCCATCGCTGCGGCGGGCTGCCGCGGGCTGTAAGATGGGTGGGGCAGGTACGGTGGGACTGGGAGCGCTTGAAAAATACGAATTTTCTAGCGTATAGGTCAGGTGCTTGAACTCTATTCGTTCAAGTAAGTAGAGAAGCAACAGAGCTGAGCGTTACGAGGGAAACGATTCAAAAGTTTTCTGTTTTTTGGGGAAGAAAATCGGCTATAGGTCGCAATCAGTCGCGGTATACCATGTTCACATAGGAATACGAGGCTAGGATTCCTACCCAACAAGTAAGTTAGCGTTGCGGTTATTAACGTTTCCAAAACATATTTCAGATTAGTTAAAAAAAAAAAAAAAGATCAAACCAACCTGTCATCCGTTGGCTATAGCGAGATGTCATTGGCATAAACTTTTCTTGCTAGTTTTATTCAGACAAAAAAGCAGGCTAATGGGTTTTTATTCTAGGTGCCCCAGAACTATTTCAGAATAGTTAATATAAATGAACACGTTTTATTTGAACCGTACAAAACAGTGGGCTCAGACATATCGCAAAACTAATAATCAAAGCAATCGAAAATGACACTGAACGCATGATAAAGGCATGAGAAAACACTTACAGAAATGCAGCAAGATACACACTACTTTGGCAAAACGAATTTATGTAAAATGAAATATAAAAGTTTCAAAGACGCCTTTAAATGCACAAAACAAAACTAAAGTATGTGGTCTCCACTATATACTTTTCTACATAAAAAAATTGCACATTAGACCAGCTTTGACCTCTTTCTCAGCTCTCGTGTTTTGTTTGCCTTTTCACGCATTTTTTGTTTGCAGTATTGCCTCATTCTCATTGAGATGTAATAATGCAAGATCTGTGCAGTTATATCAATCTTGTGACCTGCGCATGGGAATGAGAAGTGAAAGTTATCCATTACCTCGTCAAGAGTTCGCTCATAAGCGAACTTGCTTTCAGCGTGCTTTTGAAAGCAAGTTTCTGTGGCACAAACAAGATTAAAAACATTGGTAGTAGGGTGCAGCAGTTTTCCACGCGTCTTGCAGTTTACAAAGGCGGCTTCAGGCTTTTCTGACAAAGACGTCGGAGAGACAAGCCCCTGCTCGCATGCTGCACAGGTTGTGTGTTTCAGAAGCTTTCTGCACAAAAACCCGGTGATGTAATATACTATACAGTCTTCCACATGCGCAGACGTGTACACATGATCAAATACATCTTCACACTCCACTTCTGCGTCTACCAGGCCATCAAGGTTTCGCTTCAGTTCCTGAAGTTTAGTTTCATGGACGGAAACATCTTGGAATGCTGATGTAAAATCCGAGAGTGTAAGAAATTGAGTGTCATTTACGTTCTGGACCTGGCAGTTTCCAAATTTGGGTGGTTTGATTAGGCTATATATGGACAGCATGTTGTAGAGTTGAAGGAAGGTTGGCATCGAAGGATGCTCGTTCTGACCACCTGCCTGGCGAATTATTCCAAAGAACCTCTCGAGTACATCTTGATTAAACTTTCCTGTTAGCACATACTTAAAACCACAGGTCCCAAGAAGATATTTCGAAAGTTCAATTGCCGACAGGATTGTGACACGCAAGCCCTCAGCAGTTGATTCCGTGAGAAAACTTTCACGTGATATTCTGCCAGAAACAAGCTCCCTCTCCCATGTGTTCAGCCAATGCAGGGAGGATGCTAGCACCCTCAGATCTTTACCGCCTAGCTTAAGGCCCTCTTTTGGATAACTTCGGTTGAGTGCATCAAACAAGTCATTTATCCGGACTGTAAAATCCACAGTAGCTTTGACGTTTTCTAGGCCTGGCACTCCTCTGCTTGAGTAATACTCAAGACCTTTAGCGACACTTCTGCTGAACACTTGTGTGGCCAATTTAACTCGCATTTTCTCTGTGTTTGATGGGTACAGATGAGAAAGCGTAAGTTTTGGACACCCCCTGAGGTAACCAGGAAGTTTGCTGTCTTCAACGAACAGCTTGTCGTACTGTGCCCACATTACACGCCCCACGTTTGTCCACAACACCTTCTCTTTCAGTAGGCGGTTCCTTATACATTTGACTAGATGGGGCGCATCCGAAAAGACATAAACACTGCGCTGGTCGTCCAAAGGGTGAACAAATGAATTTCTTGGGCATGTTAGAGATCCACTTACGGAAAACTGCTTCCACATGGCTCTGTTAGTTGCAGCCCCATCACACACAATGGCATCAACAAACACTCCAGCATCCTCAAGCAACAGAATAGCTTTCATTACTAGCTGTGCGAGAACTGTCCCTCGTGTTGGTCCCTTGCTTGCAAAGACAGCGACTGGCTGGGAATAGCTGTCACCAAATGCACGAAATGTGAACACCAGCCCGTGATCTGCTAGTTCATCTGAAGGGCTTGCCGCTTCACCAAAGTCCGCAAACCCTGCATATGTCATCGTCTTAGCGTGAACTCTCATCTCTTTTCTTACTTGAATTTCATCAAACACCAAGATGCCGTGACGCTCAGAGGTAGATTTTGTGGCTATCTTCTTCTTGAACGCCGCAAAGAAACGAGGGTCAAATCCACATTTGATCCGAACCATTGACAGGTACTTTCGTACCGTGGTCACAGAAGGCAGCGGCAAGATCTCATTGTCTCTTAGAAACGAGTAGCCAGATGGGCTTCGAATATGCAACAGTAGGCATATCAAGATCCAATGCTCAGTGTAGCGCCTATTCTTTTTGCTTTTGCATCTGGCAGCCAAGACACATTCCTTGATTAATTCCAGCTGAGCTGAAGGCAGCTTCAGTGCCTCCAGTTTTTCATCAAGCACTTCAGTGGACATGTTTTGCATCTTTGCTTGGGCCTGCTTCAGCCCTTCACTGAGAGCTTTGACACGTTTCAGCAGGCGTTCCTTAGACCTTTTCAGCGCATACCTAGCTCTACGGAAAGCAAGCATGCTGTCACTATTTCGTACAGATGTGAAGCGAAAACGCTTAGTCGGTCTGGTTCCATTTTTCTTGTCGGTCGCCCTCTTCTGGTGAATCCGAAGTGTGTCAGACAGACTTGAGCACCACTACATGTGCTCTTGTTTTCACGAACAAGGAGGGGGCATTTTTTGTGTCGCCACAGATTGCACGCATCGACAGATGCACTCTCAGGATGCGCCTGTGGATACACACTTGCCTTTGGTCCTCCGCCACAGATAGGCATCTCATGCAATCTTTGCAGAAATGACTTAACATCTTCGATTGTAGCGACGTCATCCTTGATGTGAAGCTCGTCTGTGGATACGCGCCTTCCCATCACAACCACAGAGACCTGCATTTTCTGGTCAATGTCAACAAGCTTTGTTGTGACCAAGTGACTTTTTTCGGCAGCACCGATGGCGCTTGTGGTCGTTCCACGCAACTTTGGGCTTGTGCTCCACTGCATCTCCGTAAAAGCAATGTTTTGGACGCCGTCCATGTCTCGCCTGTGATATCCCCATGATATGGTCGGAAGAACCGCGGGCGCCGACAGCTCGAACAAGTCGCTGAAGACTTGCTGCCGAGACAGTTCGGCTGAAGGGATGATTTCCGGAGCTTCCGGAGCGTCAACGTTGAAGGCAGCCGGATCGGAGTTTGCATTCGACGAACATCCTCCTCGATCACGGTCGCTGTCTTTCAGGTCATCTGCCTCTTCAGCACTTTCGGCCGTATCAGTGCGATGAACGCGCTTTTGTTTAGGAACATCGGCAGGCTGCCTGACCGCTGGTCTCTTCCGACGTTTGGTTACCTTGGAGAGGTGTGCTGGACAGTCGGGAAATATCGACGGTACTGCGTCGCCGGCCAAAGATGCTCGACGAGGCACACTCATAAGGACGTTGCCATTGTACTCCGCAGTCCAGGTTTTTGAGACAAAACGAGGCTCAAAATGTCTCTCGCACACATGATCCGACGCTTGAAGGCTTCGATCCTTGCGGGGAATGGCGTGCCTCCAAAGTTTCAGGCGGGCGTCGTCCTTCGGCGCCGAAAAGAGAGAAAACTTTTGCTGGCATGACTTGTAACCGGTGTTACAACGCGGCACGAAACACTTCCTTCCCATTGTTAGAAAAAACGTGTGCTAAACAAGGGAAACCACGACAACCGACGACTCATACGACGCACCAACACACAGAACCAACGTGAGCGAGGCGAGACTGGCGAGACCCGGCGAAACGATGGCCCGTACTGCACTCCTGCCACCTGTCGGAATGTGCGCGAACCGCGAGCGTTTACTCGACACGCTCGTTCCGCCGGGAGAGCTGCGCGTTGAACCACCTCCTCTATCTTCCACCGTGATCGGGGGTACCCGCAAGCAGACGAGTACACAATCCGGTCACGGCGCTGCGCTAGGCTTCTATGGGCCGTTTCCCCACCTGTCTCTCTTACACCCTGGATGATATCAAACCCTCATTAATTGATAAAAAAAAACGAAAAAAAAAACTGGGTAGACTTGAAGGCATATCTAGCATTGAGGTCTACCCAACATCCTTTCAATCAGAGCCAATCAGAGCTCAGCGTCGCTCTTATGTCACGTCGACTCCTGCGCAAGAAGCAGACGACTTGCTCTCCGCATAGCAACGGCTAAGGTCGGACTTGATCTGTTGTGGAGTGTTGTGATGGCATTAGGGAAGGGGGGGGGGGGGAGCAAGTAAAGTTACTTTTAAATTATTAGAAGTAACTTTTAACATTGTGGTGCTTTCGCTCATCGTTTGTCCGGAGAAAGGGACCAGGTCATGATAGAGAGCCGTTTAACCTGACAGTCAGTTATTCCGACGGCCGGCGGCGGCTTACGCCGCCATGGCTGAATCTCAGGTTCGATGCCGCGCGCCTCGTGTCTTGTGCCTTGCCCCGCGAGCGCTCCTTGTCCTCCCACCGCATCGTCGCCCAAGTTATCTACGCGTCCAAATACCCTGGGAACATACCCTCCTTTATTCTTGAATGCCTATTAAATCGCGAAAGAACGAATGTGGCCGCCGTGAAGATGAAAGAAAATGGGGGAAGGGGGCGCGCGCAGGGGGTCTCTTGGGCAGCGTCAAACAATGCCCCAGAGTTAAAATCCGAAAACACAGAAGCGCTCGTTAAATTAGCTGAAATTTGGAGAATATTGCGAGCACAGTATTAGAAATGACAAAGTCAGGGACAAGATTAATGTACGAATAATGTTAATAGTCTGCGCGAAGAATGACTGCCGGTAACAAATGAATCGCATGGACACGTTTGTCGAACTGAAGTCACGCAGCCCAGGTCTTTTTACGCCAAAGGAAACAAAGGCGTTCTCAAATCCATGCCAGCGGAGCATGGAAGTGCACGGGGATCGCTTAGAAAAAACTACCATAACATTGTGCCTGGCGGATTTTCTGTTTCCTCTGTGGGAATAAAATATAATTTACTACTAAAAATAAACGCACCCAAGGCACTACCAGCCCCTCCCCCCTTCCCAAAACTCCCTTTGCCCCTTCCCCCCAAAATATTTTATTATATTCCAGCCCACACGAAAAATTCTGGAAGCGTAGGTTGCGTATTTGGATAGGGTAGGCTGCCTTTGTACAGCGCAGTGATGGGCTCTGCACACCTTTCTATAGTTGGTGACAGGCTAAGAATTCAGCGGACACTCTCCTCCCTCCCCCCTCTTTCCACTTTAGGAGAACGAACGCTGGAGAGGAGGCAACCTCCTTTTCAGCGCTCGCTCTGCTAAAGTAGAAAGGCCGAGGGAAGTTTCCATTGAACTCTTATGCTGTCACTGAGGTATACGACAACCTATCAAACTATTTTTATAGGAGAGTGCACCGCCAAAGCATGCCTCGCGACGCCACCGCAATCATCACTGGGGGACTTGCCTGGGTGCGTAGATAAGAGGCGCCAAAGAAGGACTTTTCTCTGCAGCACATGGAGGCTTGCCTGACAGCAATCGACAGGAAAATGGCCCTGGTTGTTCCGATGGACGATGCCGAACGAGCTTCTTTTTTCCCTTACCTCACCTGGCCCAAGTGAGACTGCTTTTAGGCTCCTCTTACTGAAGTCAGGCTTAATTGCGGTTAAGGGTGCCCAACGGGCCACCTAAACCGCAGTTTCGCTTAAGTATGCTTAGCGGCTACTGCCAACTATACCATATAGGTACAGGTGCACCCTTAACCTTACTTAAGTCTAACCTCGGTCACACATAGCTGCGGTCAAGGTTGCCCGCGTAGGCATTAGTTATATTGACGCTAGCTGCCTGGCTGTGGTCATTTGGGATCCCCGAAAAATAAAGAAGAAAAAGCGAGTTCCAAAGCAATATTAAAAAAAAAAAAAAAAAAAAAAAAATTGGTAAACCGTGACTTACGCAACCCGTAATTTGAAGCACAGCGACAAGTGGGGTGAGATGTCGGAGCCGCTAAGGTGTCATTTCGGAGCGGACAGACTGAATGAACGGTAAAGCGCCGTTCACACACTCGCAGCCGGGTAGGATGGACAGAGACAGGACCGGTTTTTAAGCCTCTTGAGACGGCGTGGGACAGGATGCGCTGCTGCGGATCGGGTCCTACGCCGTCGCAACAGGCTTAAAAATCGGTCTTGTGTCTCTCGGTCCTATTTGGTTGCAAGTGTGTGAACGGCGCTTTAATTTGCGAGCGCGCACCATAAAGTCCGCATAGGCGTTTCGTATTAAACCGAGTAACGCACCGGACGAAAACTCAATTTCGTTTTGGAACCAATGAGGGTGCATTAAGTAGGGAGCATTTCAGCGGTCTGGCGTAAGATGGGAGCGTCTTTTCGTACGTCACTTTGGTACAAACAGTCACACGTGCTAAACCAAAAGCGCCGAATAAACAAGGACAAGGAATTAAACAAGGCCAAGTGCACTCTCAAAGGGAGGTTTATTGAAACAAACACACACCATTATTACCATATTTTTGGCCATTTGTTTATAAAATGAAACTGTATCTGTCAGGTGCATTGACGGGCACTAACGCACTTGCTTTCCCCTTGCTTTCCGGTACCAGAATGCATCGTACAATTCTAAGGCGTTTTTTGTCTCCGTATTTCCCGAGAATTGTTATTTGTGCTAATTCTGGGTCACATATGGGCACCTATCCTAGTGTACCGCCAGATTGCCCGGCGGAAACCGTTTTACAGACAATACATGTAATCTTGCCACCATGCATGACCATGCATGTTATCTTGCTTGCTTGTTATCTTGTTATCAGTGGCCCGTGGATTGTTTTTGCGGAGTGCCGTAAATGGCCCGCGTCGATACGGGGCGTGGTCGAAGGCGCGAAACCGTGAAGTGTCTAACTGACAGTTGTCGCTGTAAAATAATGATTCTAGATAACCACGGGCATGTATAGTATATATACCTACGCTATCCTAGGCTGTTTTTTTAAAACGATTGTGTTGATGGCATTGAAAACTGCTCTTTTTATTTAGAGTTAAATTGAATCGCACAATTAACTGCACGGCTATCGATGAGGTCAGAATTGTGAAACCAATTTTTACATCTTGCGGCATCTATCATACCTGGCATGGGCCTTTATTACCTTCTTCTTTATATAAACATTACTGTCTGGGCAAGGGACGGGTGATTGTTTGACTTTCCTTGACTTTCTTTTTGGATTATGCGCTCCTAACACCACATAATTTCATTGCATTAAATGCGTTGCTCCAAATTCTTTTGAAATTTATTTTCTCTAATGATTTCTACATAAATTATTAAATACCATGATATATCCGCAACTCAGGTACGCGTAAGTTAATCTGAGTATTGCACCTGCTCAGTGTAGAAATATTTGACTTACGGGAGTTTCCTAACAACCATAAGAATATTGATGTTTTTCTGTTTTCAAGAACGTTATATCTGTGTGGTTTCCGTTCTCTCAATTCACGTTTAACATTTATGTTTTTATTGGTTGCACGGTCAGCATATCCTTCAGTGTCCTCGTGTGGACGCACAATCCACACAGGATTCCAGGGTTGAGCACCGTGGCCCACTGTCCCGTCAACATTCCAGACATCGTGAGTTTGGCAGTTTCGAGTGTTTCCTCATAACGTTTTTGCTACGATGTGCATTTTCATACGTACACAAAGGTTTCTTTACCCAAGGCCACTAAAACCGATGGGCATCACTTCACTAGCTGTTAAAGCCGTACTATTATGAACCAGACTTGGAATCATATCTTATCCTTTTTCATTTTCTTACATGTTTCAGCAGAAGTTTAGAAATAGCTTAAGCACCTCAAGTAACGAGAACGTAGCGTGATACTTCCATGTGATGCTGATTTCTCTCGGGCGAAGGGTGAGAGGGAAGGGCATGAAATAGATTTAAATTTTATCTCGATAGTGACATGTGTGTGATTCTCGACTGATGGCTGTCGTGGCGCAAACATCGAAAGAATAATAAAAAACACGACCTTGTCTGTGCCAAGGTCAGGAAGTGCTGAAATAACGCGCCCTTTCCCACATTTTTCACGTCCGGAACACCCCTTTGATCAACTTTCAAGCTATTCGTTTATTCAATTTAAATTAACTTTCTTCAACTCTGTCCCTTCTAGAATTATAAGGATTTTGCCTGTTTTATTATAAATGTCCTGGCTAGAAATGTCGATTACCATCACCTTTTGAATTGGTAGAAGTGTGACGCAAAGATTGTCGCGCAATCTCTGCGAAGCGTGAAATGAGATACGTTTCTTTTTTAATTAGTTATCTATACATATATACTGTAAAGATTGATTTTTTGTAACGTCATCGTCGTCACCAAAGCATCAAGCTCATAGATTATAAAATCATCATCATGCCGGCAGAGCGAGAGGCCCCTCCCTTTCGGACGCTTGTGCTCGCCCAGCGGTGGTTGTCTGAATAAAACCTAGGGTGCATTAATCTGTGGCTCCCTAATAAAACCTATCACCCTCGGTTCACCTACCTCGCTTCTCCTTAGGTCCTCTTTACAACATCAGTAGTTTGGCAAATCTCACCCGTGTGTTCTTTAGACTTTGTAAACTAGGGATGATTCCATTAATGGTATAGTTTTCCAAGTACGTAAGGAAATATTATTTAGCTTGGACTGGGTGAAATTACACTAAAGCACAATTTTAGTTACAAATTCACGAGCATAACGTAAATGTGACGACGCATTAGACTCCTTGAACTGTAATCCGT